TCTCTCTCTCTCTCTCTATCTCTCTCTGTTTACATATTTCCATTACCAATTCTACTCATTTAAGTTTTTGCTTGCTTACTGCTATTTTCTAATTTATTTAGTCTTTCAAAATTAAATACAAGTTTAATTTAGTTGGGAATGACATCTAAAAAAGGAAATAATAAAGTTTGAATTCATTTTATTTGGTAATGTTGTTGTTTTGATTACTTTATTGTTGCGTAAATGTCACCATAAAATCAAAAGAATAATATATCGATGAATCAATTATGGCACACCGATGAGATTTCAGATATTAGAAAATAGGACTATAATGTAAACCATATAAAAAGATTAGTGATAAATAAGACTGAAAATGCACTAAGCGAATTTGGTGCAATCTTTGTGATTGTAATGTTTGAATGCATTTACCTTTTCAATTATTGTTAACAATTCTTTTTTGGTTATAATTTATTCAGTAAATGTTTTCAAGACAAAACATTAGAAAAGTCCATGAAAGTGCTAAGAACAAGCAAAAACGAGAATGATTCTGAGATTTTTAGAACATAGACACAGAACAGTTAATGGAGAAAATAATGAAGGAATTGTTTTAACACATGGAAATAAAAGCCAATATGACAGCTATATCCAGGAACAAGTGACTACTAGTGAACAAACAGAACTGGACAGTCATGGTAACCATTTCTTTTTATAAGGACTACAGGTTAAATTGAGCTATTATGCTTAACATAATACATAGCACAGCATGATTTGCAAATTCATCGAGTTCATTCCGTAAAATCTCAGTTCATTCTACTTCTATTACAGATTAGTCAAGCTTTAACTTGTTTAATATTATAAAAAATCCTAGAAGTAAAAGATAGTAAAGTATGTTTCAAACTGTATGCGCTCGATATAACAGTACTCTTCAAATTCCAAAATAATGGAAGAGACCGGCACTGTTTATTGTGGGAGTTTTTCGATGATTGATCCAGACAAGTAATTTTGACAAATGTTTCATTGATAGCAGAGAATTTATATTTCGTATACATTGTAGGACAATTGTAAGAGAATATTACGAGTAAAGTCAATCACCAAGTTGTTCTTCATTGTCATCGGAGGGAACATTTGGTGGGGATTTGATTGAAGTTGTAATTTAGCACAGATTTGAAAGAGTATAAATGGTAATACTGATGAAGCAAATTGAAGCGCACAGTTAATCGAATGAATTCTCCTTATATATTTTAGACATTCAAATCAAATCCCACATATTTTAAACATATCTTTACAACACTTCAAACATCGCACATAAGCTTAGCTATTCCAAAATATTTTTATAATACAAAATAACTTTGATTATTTGACATATTTGTATCATAAAAATACTTCGGTCATTCCAACACAATCTTTTACTTTTTGTTTCAATGCTGGAATTTATGATATCGTATCGACGCATAATTGACAACCCACTTAGTGATGTGTTATGTATTAGTTTGCACTAAAACATTTCAGGTCCCAAAATCATCTAATGAATATGACAAAATAAAGTTAAATGATTTAAACAACCTATGAAGTTGTCACTGCAAAAGCATGCAATCATGGACGATTGTTAAGTAACGCAACTGTCATGGTCCTCATTTAATTCACTACTTTTTTTCTCTGCAATATATCATCAAAATCATGACCAGACAATGAATGATTGACAGAAATTCTGATTTCAGGAAGCTATACAATCAGAAAAGATCTAGAAGATATGCCTCGGGAAACTTCCTGTCAAGCAACAATTCTTAATGTCTTTGAGGGTAGGCCAACCTTGGTTTCTCCACCCAGTAATACTGAAACAATTTTTTCCAAAACCGGTATCCTTTTTTTTCTTTTTTTGAATACACTTGATTTTTATTTCTCAACTAATTGAGTAATTCTGCTTCTTCAATGCTATGAATTTTTCTTTCTTTCGAGGATTTTCTTCCAACAGTGTGAAAAAAAGTTGAAGAGGAACTCTTCCTTAAAATTTATGATTCCAAAAGATAATACAAACACTTCTTATGTTGTTATTACAAATCCTTTTCATCAAAATTATCGAATCTTCAGTCACTTAAAAATTTCTCTGAATGTGAAATGATTCACCAGTTTTTTTCACCCCTTCACTGTCTGTTATGCTCTTGAATGCTTCAACCTTACCTTTGAAAAATGGCAATGCAATGATATTTGATAAGCATTGAACTTAAGAAAAAGGGTGGTTTTTGAAGGTTCATCACAGATTTAGGTAAAGCAGGTATGAAACACCTTCGGGTAGGCTTGAAGTATGGATCGTCTGAAATCTGGTAACTCAAACGGTCCCAGTGCTCCAGCAAAATAGTGACAGTGATAGATATCTTTAAGCCTAAATTAAAGAAAGAAAAGAAAGATAGAATGCTCGTGAGAAAATGGTCTATAACCAACTAATTATTGAAAACATATGTAGTAATAACTCTGATTCCCTAGGTCTGATTATAATTTTATTTTGTAAAACCAAGTGAAGTTTTAGTGGAATTTAAGGGGTTTAGTGGGACACGAGTGCAAACAATAAAACAGCCTGATTTTTACGACCCCTTGTATTTTTGCGGGATCCCATGGTGATTTAGTCATATTTCAATCTTCTTCGGAATAAAGGACCAAGTGTTGAATGGAATTTCATACTTATTTTGAGTGAGCAAGAAACAACAGTTTATGATGGATGTGGGAAAATTTATGATACAGATAATACAGATAAGTGATAGAGTTGGGATCGGGGTGGTATTTGGAGTTGATTTCAATACTTTCTTACCCTGTTGACTTAGATAAACTTTAAATCAATTAGAATTTTTAATGGAACGATTTATTACAACTCTATCACTGTGATTACATTTATCGCTAATGTTGCTGAAGGTCGTAGCATCGTCCTCTTTCAGTTATCATGATAATATGAGTGCCCTAACAAAGAAATGTGACTTAGTTTGTTTTTTAAAAATTTAAAACGTAGTAGAAAATGATAAACTGATAAATGCTGGCATTAAATTTTGTTTTGTTCAGGATATTCTCTTGCCAGTAACAAAGGCAACATTGAAAAACAGGAAATATGTGACATCAGAGTTAATGCAAACAAGATGGTCATCCACCCATCAACGATCCCTTTTCTGCACGATATGCTTTCAAGTAACATATTTTTTATTTTTCTCAAATTTTGATTTCCCTGCAGAATTTCCAGCAAATAAGAAAAGTATGATTTCTTCAATCAACAAATAGGATATGAGCCATTATTGCTTTTAAACTAAAAATATAAGTTAGTAACCGAAATATTGTATCTATTAAAAAGTAACGCAACCGCAATTTTATGTAGTTCTGATGGGTAGAATCACTTCACTACAGTTCTTTACATAAAGGAAGAGGGGGAAGGAGAAGAACAATGAATTTTTAAGGCCTACGTATGGACTTTTGGTCTTTGAACTCCGTATGATAAGAAATTCCTTATTCTTTATGAATATCCAAAAAAAAAACAGGATGTCGTAAGAGAGATAGTAATGAACACTATGTAATATCTACTCTATTTGCCTCCCAAACATACGACAAATTCAGGCCTGATGGATCACTCATGCATGTCTGTATCAAATTAGAGCATTTACCAGATCTAACGACGAATTTCTTATCACACTTCACAGTTTATAGTTGGTGAATGAAGAAGTCTAACCAATCAATTAATATTTAAGACGACGGACAAATTAACCGAAGAGAGGCCAAAAGCAAAGAGGATTCCCAAAGAGAGTCTATGGCTATCGAAATTGAAAAGAACAATTTGATTAATAGTGTCACATCGAAACTCGCATTTCATCCGAAACAAAGCCTTTCGAAAAAAAGACCTGTAGAAATTACTGGTAAGCATTCAGTTTTCCTGTATATCACTGGTTTCTTTTAAAATTCTTCGCATTTTTGAACTCCATGGTTGAGATCAGTTGAGATGCAAAATACTAACGATTGAAATCTAATCTGATTTAGGACTTCAGGGAAATGAAGTTTCTTCCATTTAGAATAATTTATTGTAACGCCAGTGAAATGGACACAACAGTCAACAAATTTCGCTCAATGAATTTGGATTTCATCTTGATTCAGAAAAAAATATTACCCAAATAGATTGAAGGCGTACAATACAACAAAATTTCCGTTTTAATGAAAAAATTTTGCTTAAAATTCTAGTTCAGATCTAGGTAGATACTCTAACTCCCTTCAATCTTTTAACAGAATTTACTTCAAGCGAATGTTGCACTCAACATGAAACAAGCGCCAATCCGAACTCTACTATCACGAAAGGAGGATGAATATGATCTAATTGATGAAGAATGTGAACCAGACTGGGTGACTAGTTCATTCAGGCTTGGTTCAATACGTAGAAGAAAAAATGAAAGGAATGTCGCAATGCAACGCATCCAGAAAGAAATTGAACTGGAGAAGCAGCGACATCGTGAAATGGTAAAAATGAGACGAAATGATCACATAACCCTGTATTAATCAAATAACTAACTCTATTACAAAGTTTACTTCGAGCTGCATCCTTTAATATTATTGAAAAATATATGTTAACATTATAAAGTTATGCAAAATTCGTGAAGTAACAGAATGAAACAGATAACTAGGACTGCTCAATAGCTTGTTTGGTTTACCTATCAATAATTCATGAATAATTCACAGAACCGATTATGCTGTTGCTATTATGACTCGTAAACTGACTGCAGCAATTCCCCAACTAATTTCATATATCGATTGAAAGAGCTAGCCCCTTAACCTTTGTCGCGAATTCTAATTTCGCGAAAGACCAAAGTATAAAAAATTATCTATCCATGCAATCATCACTCATGTCTTAGATCTTTGTTTTAAATCACATCTGTTGAAATATTTGGAGAAAAACCACTCCCACTTTTTCCGTATATAAGCTGTATTGAGTGTTGTCCAGGGAGCTTTTGATGACCAGTTTTTTTCATTACGCCCAAGCAA